CTGGTGCAGATAGTATCATGAAAGGCTTCATGTTGTAAGTATTGAGTTACATAAGCTACTAGGTATCTACTTCTTAGACTCCAATTCTCGGGTAAAGTCGTTCAAAATATTGCATATTGCTAATGTCGCGGGCAATGAAACTCAAGTTGGTAGACTGCTGGCCAATACAACCACAGTCTTTAGCCGGTTGAAGAGGGATTAAATATCGAATTCTGCAGGCGATGTATCGTGTGCAGCAGGTAAAGGATCCCATCGCCTAATTTTCTTCGGAGCAGGATGCCCTGGCGCGCATTTCGGAATGAATATCACTACATCAGCCGTAACTGCCTGCATACCGTCTGTCAGAGGGGTTTTACAATCGAGAAATTTCCTACACGCATTCTGTCCAGCGAAATGCGCAGTAGCAGAATAGTTTTATGGCCTACGGATACCTTGGTGGTTTATTGAGATATCAACTCACTCAAGGTTCCTTGTCTCATGTATTTCATACCAGCGGTCATCCATGTCACGAGTTGTCGCGGGGCAGATGGGGCGTGGGGGCGGGGAATGAGGCCAGGAAAAAGATACTTATACCAGCACTGAGGTTGTGTCTCCCCGGGCGGGCGAAGGCTATCCAGGTAAATTTCGTCAAGTCCAAAATCAAAAACTGAGAATATTGGCTCCTTGAATCATTTAGCTTCCGTTTAGACAGACGATTGTCCAACATCATTCTTGCCCGCTCTCGGCTCTCAAAAGTTTGGGGATTGAGTTGTGGTACGAATACTCTAAACAGGTTGATTCTTCTATGAAATGGTCTTCCCAGCCAATGGGTAATAATCGGCGTTAATTGCTCTAACTAGCCAGCAATTGATCACCCCGTTTAAACAAATTGGCATTATTCTCCTTGGCCGAGTCCACACGTTACTAGGCCGACTACTAGCACAAAGTGAGGTACACAAGCACACCCGTTGAACCCCAATGGAAGAACGGCACGACGCTGCCCCACACTTGCGATTCCCACGGCCCCTCCCCCTCCCCCTCATTCCACTTTTTTTGCTGCCCCTCCATGTTTCTCTTACTCTTCAGTCGCGAAACTGCAACTCCCAGATGTCTTCACTCTGGTTATTTCTCCGAAATGAGAAGGCAATGCACAGAACAAATTTCAAAGAAGAATTGGCTACGGAGTTGCCCTGGTATCATTGGAAGCTCATGCTAAATCATGAAAATCCGGCAAGATGGCGTGGCGGCGGCGCAGCCTCCGTCTTGGGCTTGAATCGGCCGGTGCGACCCTCCGAACACCGGCGTCGACGGCGCCGTGGCTTCGGTCATGCTCGGGGTGTGTTTCCAGAAGCGGCAGCATGTTTTTTTCTTCTCCTACATTCTTTCCCCTCTAGGGACAAATTTCCATTACTATAGTCAGAAGTTCTTTGCAAAATCTCTCATGATTCCGCAATATGCTCCCGATCCAACTTGATGCTGGATGAACGCTGAAGAACCAACCATGCATGCGCCATGCAACTCGTTCGCTCTTCCAAAAGTCTCGGCTTTTTCTAACAAAACAAGCCAAGAGCAGCCATCATAGCACATCATACCAGAGACTCCCTATAATTGTCTCCATCAGACTATCTGAGCGGATAAGTCGAGCGTCTGGGCTGGGGGAGCTGACGCACGGCGGAGTGCGGGGCTGATAAATCCCTCCAATTGTCTTCCCCCCTCCTCTGCCCCTCAATTTTTCCGGGCCCAGCTTTGTCGTGGAGTAGCTACGAGACGTGACGGAGACGAGACGGGAGCTTCTCCTTGGTCGCCATGCCACGGCGAGCTTCATCCTTAGAGAGAGAAAAATATTCTTGGCCTGCCCATTGTTATCCGTTGCCGCTCTTGTTCCGTGCTGTCTCTCGCTGCGTCTCGCCCGAGCTACTTGTGCTACTTTGCCCATTGACACGTTCCCACCCCTCTATTATATAGACCGTAACTTTCGCCGTCTGTCCTAGCTCGTGAAGTTCCTCTTCTCCATTCCCTCCCAAACTCTCCTCTCCCCTCACCTGTATCATTTCCAAAACCATTGAAAGAAAAGACGCGACCAAAATGGAGCCTCTCAACGTCTTGATGGTAAGCCAATTCAGAATCATCCGGCTCAGTTCCACGTGCTAATCTCATCACCAGGTTGGTACCGGAGAGTACACCACCGGCTTCGTCGGTGGCGGTGCCTCTGGTTCGGACAAGAAGGTGGGCGTCGTCGGCCTGACTCTCTTCGACCTGAGGAGAAGAGGCAAGGTCAACCAGCTGGGCATGGTTGGCGTCAACGGCACAAAGTTCCCCGCCATTAGTACGCAAAACACCGCTATCCCGAGCCAATATAGTCAAAGTGATAATGCTGACCTGTGCGTGAAGGGGAGCATCTCCACAAGAACATCACCCAGGCTTACAACGGCCTGGACACCTCCTTCGACTCATACCCCGCCAACGACAAGAAGGACCCCGACTCCTACAAGACGGCCATCGACGCCCTCAAGGCCGGCGACGCCATCACCATCTTTACCCCCGACACCACCCACTACCCCATCGCCCTCTACGCCATCGAGCGCGGTATCCACGTGCTCCTGACCAAGCCCGCCGTCAAGGACCTGGAGCACCACCAGGCCCTCATCGAGGCCGCCGACAAGAAGGGCGTATACGTCTTCATCGAGCACCACAAGCGCTTCGACCCGGCCTACTCAGACGCCCGCTTCAAGGCCCAGAAGCTCGGCGACTTCAACTACTTTTACAGCTACATGTCCCAGCCCAAGTCCCAGCTCGAGACCTTCAAGGCCTGGGCCGGCGTCGACTCGGACATCTCTTACTACCTTAACAGCCACCACGTCGACATTTGCGACTCCATGGTCACCCAGCAAGGCTTCGTCCCCGTCAAGGTCTCCGCCTCAGCGTCAAAGGGCATCGCCACCGACCTCGGCTGCGACCCGGCCACCGAGGACACAATCTCCGTCCTCGTCCACTGGGAGAAGAAGGGCGACCCATCCAAAAAGGCCACGGGCGTCTACACCGCCAGCTGGACCGCGCCCCAGCGCGCGGGCGTCCATTCGAACCAGTACTTCCACTACCTCGCCGCCAACGGCGAGATCCGCGTCGACCAGGCCAAGCGCGGCTACGACGTCGCCGACGACTCGGCGGGCCAGCTCATGTGGTACAACCCCTTTTACATGCGCTACGCGCCCGATGAGGACGGAAACTTCAACGGCCAGACGGGCTACGGCTATATCTCGCTCGAGAAGTTCGTCGACGGCTGCCGGCAGGTCAACTCTGGCCAGCTCAAGCCCAAGGATCTCGATGCCAAGGGTCTGCCTACCCTCAAGAACACCATCGCCACCACGGCTATCCTCCACGCTGGCAGGAAAAGTATCGACGAGAACCGTGAGATCAAGATTGAGGTCAACGACGGTGTCTGGAAGCTGGTGTAAGGGGTTTTGTGTGTCGAAGGGATGACGACCTTGTGTGGATGACCTGTGGATATGTAAAGGGCTTATATACCATCTGCTATTTTACGCTGAATGAAATCAAATCATGACATGAATGAGATTACGCTTTGATTGCGATGTGATTTTAAGCCAGAGTTTTATCGATCGTGAAAATGGGATGTCCAGAGATTTGAACCTCAGTGTAAGTTCACACAAGAAAGTGTGCGATCCATCACCACAGGAAGTTCTCATCCGCCCTTACGAGCTTGACCTATCAGTTGGACACCAGCCAATGAAAAGCGCCAAGTGACCATCTCAAATAGTCAATCGCTTCTGAGAAAACATTTTCCAGCTTCAAGAGCCAGAACTGATAATGAATAACAACATCACAAATCTGAGTCGATTCCTCCATGGGTGACGTGGGATGAATCATCACAGCTTGCCGCGCACGTCTGTCTATCTAGCCGAAGGGCCAATCACTCTTTCGCAACCGCGATCTTCATCCTCCAACCCTGTGCTGGGCCGTGGTCCCCACAATATAGGTCGAACCGATACAAGAGAAGCCAAAAAAGAGTTCACCCCCCCCCCCCCCCGGTGGCTGGGAACTCGGAATATCTAGTGCTTATGCTGGAATTAGAACTCGGGTACTCTCGTATGCGCTTAGCCTGTTGTCGAGTAGGCTGGTTGGCGTAGATTTCAATTGTTGACAACGAACCACTCCACCACCCAGTCCAGTTTGACCTGACCCCCCGGCCTAGAGGAGCGCCTGCTGTTGCTGGTGACGAGAATGGTACTGAGGGGGCCTATATGGGCTTCATCTGTGGTGTGTTGTGATTTTCAGGGCGAATATACATGAAGGTGCAGATGGGATGTGCCACGCGCAAGGCACCTACCTGCCTACTTTAAGGTATCGACAGCTGCGTGAGAGGCAAGAACGCTGGAACACAGATTGTAAAGATATCGGCGTTTCCTTTACTGCTTGTAAACAGTGTGTCACAACGAACGGCTATGGTTTGAAAGAAATAAACACTCAAAAAATGTTGATACGATGATAGAGAAGGTTTTAGCATGGAGAGAGTCCTGAAGCTTCTCAGGCGATATCCGCGAGAAGGTTCGATTAAAGCCATCCATAAGGAGGACTCGACCTCACCCTCCTCTCAAAAAACCTACCCAGAACGCCTTGAATCTGTCGTAATTTATAATAAAGTTAATTTCTACGGAAAAAAAGAGACTCCAAGGAACTTGAATACCTCAAGTACGGCACGGAACTAAAGGCATCACATTCAGGTGAGAAAGACGAATCTCGGTCAGATGTCGGTGAATCTCGGTGTACGTATCAGCACCCGCACGTCGAACCACGCTAAGCCCGATACGAGCCAAGCGGCCCCTCCCCCGATAAGATAAGATTAACAAAAAATTCGAGAAGCGGCAACTTGAGCAACCTCTAGCCAAACTGCTTTGCGCCCGGCCACCTCGTACCTCGTTAATTCTACCTTACCCAAGGCACTCGTGATCCCGCATCCCACCACCTCCTTCACCTTCTCCGAAAAAAAAGACAATCGGCTCACAATGGGTTCCGTCCTCCAAAAGAAGAAGCGCCGCTCCGGCCGCGCCAAAGTCAAGACAAACAGGCCCAAGAAGCTCCTCAACCCTCTCGGCAACGACATCATCGCAAAGAACTGGTACGCAGACACACGCACACACACACACACTCGTCGCCCCTTTGAACTGCCCGCACCTCTACGTCCAGATCCCACCCCCGAGAGAGAAACACAATTTGTGCTGACCACCCATTGTCGTCCAGGAACAAGAAGGAAACCCTCACCCAAAACTACCGCCGCCTAGGCCTCACAGCCCGCCTCAAATCAGCAACAGGCGGCACAGAAAAGACACTCGCCCAACTCGAGCAAGAAAAGACCGCCTCCTCCTCCACCGCCGCAAAGCGCGACCCCTTCGCCATCTCCACAACCGAAGAAGCCGTCTTTGAAGAAGCCCGCGTCGAGCGCGACGCCGACGGCAAAATCATCAAGATCCACTACGCCAGCGCCAATAAGCGTCCCAACCCCCTCAACGACCCCCTGAACGCCCTCGAAGAAGGATCCGACGACGAAGAGGAGAACGAAGAAGAATGGGGTGGCATCGACGACGAGAGCAGACCCGAAGTCATCCGCCTCCTCGAAAAGGAAGCCGCCCTCCCCGAGATCAAGAAGCCGCGACACATTAGCCAGCAGGAGAAAGAATGGCTCGAGAGGTTGATTGCCAAGCACGGCGACGATTACGATGCCATGGTGCGGGATCGCAAGTTGAACCCCATGCAGCAAACGAAGGGCGATATCACGCGCCGGGTGAAGAGGTTTACTGGCAAGGCGTAAATCTTTCCGGGAGAGGAGACGCAGTGTAGATGAGAAGGGGGGAAAATGGAAGGAAGGAAGTAGAGGGGAGGGGAAGAAAGCATTTACAGAGAGGGAGGGCATGGAAGGAAAGAAAAAGTTCCAAAAGGAGTCGTTCATATTACATGTTGGTCGGTGGTAAGAGCCTGGCCATAGAGGAAATACTGTCGTGTTCCCCCTTTGAGGAGTTATGGCGTTTTCAGATCAAATTTTTTTGGCATAAAACACAATATTCCACATGTTCACTACGAAAGCAAGCTGATCATTTTTCATCATTGACTTTTAATCGTCATGTCATCAAATTTGATGTCTACCTAGAGAGAGCTTCATGCCTGGTATCTTTGCGATTACCTTTGTTACAAATGGGACGCCAACAACACCCCGTAATCCGGAAAATAAAAATCCAAGCCCATCTATGTGAACACTGGACAGCACAGTCCGTCCGCCTTCGTCAACCCAAAACCGGCCTAGGTTTTGCTCGGGCTGTGGCCCTGCCATCACAAATCCTTCACACTGGAATACTACCCCATTGAAAGAATAGGATATTCATCTTAATGCATCGTGCGATCGTAGGGCGCAGAAGGGAACTGCGCCGGCCGGTCGTCGTCGTAAGCAGGCGCTGCGCCATACGGCTCAGGGGCGGAGTATGGTTGTACCGCCGCCGCGGGGCTGGTGGAGGTGGGCCTCTGGGGATGAGTTTGAGAGTGATACTCGGTCTCGCTGTCGAACATGGCACCGTTCTGGCGCGAGGGGAGGGATCCGTAGCGGTTCGGGTCGTCATCCTCGCCGTAGGCCGAGCTGCCGGCGCCGTAGCGACTGTTGTAGCTGTTGTTGGCGTATCCGTGGTTGCCGGTGGCGTTGCCGCCGTAGAGCGTTGTGTTGTCGTCGTTGTGGTCATCCATCTGGACGGGGGCGTACGCCTCCTCGTCGTGGGGTGCCATGGAGAAGGCGGCCTTGTCGGGGTCGATGTTGTCTCCGCCGAGCTTCTCCTTGTCGTAGCCGGGGAGCTTGCCGTGGAACTGGTAGTACTTCAGAGTGTACAGACTGACAAAGGTGCTGCCTCCGAAGAGAAGGCTGCCAAAGTGCTGTTAGCATCATTGCCTGAATAGCTGCGATCCACATTCTCTGATGACTTACCACACGAAAACACCCAAGCCGACAATGGCCTTGCTGAGCTTGCAGCCGTCACCGCACTGGTTGGCCGTGTTGTAGGCGGCCTGACTTGCGAAGGCAGAAAGCCAGATGATGCAGAAGCATGCATCTACGATGGCCATAGCGTAGGGGTTGGCCAGTTTTCTCGTTCTCGGCCACCGCGGCGCCATAATCAGGTAGATCCACGCTGGTAGCGAAAGGAAGCACTGCGATGCGACTGTCAGCGATTTGCATACCTTGCCAAAATACAGGACTCATTTTCCTGTCAGGTTGCCTTACCACTCCAAAAGTCCAGCCATTGTTGCCGACGATTTTTGCGTTATCGGCTCTAAACACTGCAATTTCCAATGCCCAAATGGCGAAGGACAGAATGAACTGGAAGATGTGCAGACCGAGCTTGACGCCGGGGACGTATTCCGGGTCAAAGTCGAGGTTTCCGAGCATGTTTGTCGTCGAGTCGTCGAATATGTCGGGTTTGTTGGTGATCTAGTAGGGTTTCCCTACGTTTGTGATCGAAAGGGGGATGTTGGATGAGAGGAGGTTGTCAGCTATGCGACTGTTGCTCCCCTGGCCTTTTTTCCCCTTCTAAATAAAGATCAAACTCAATCCGGCTCGGCAACGGGGTTTGGCGAGACAACCCAGGGATCGGAACCAGTGGACGGGGGGTTTTGGGGGGCCAATCGATAAGGGAACCCGCCGTAATGATGTAAGATAGGTAGCTCGCTGGCTTGGGTTGTTCGGGTTGTGGGAACGAGTGTCGAGGGCGAGGTGAGATGCTGTTCGCTGATTGTCAAAAACACTGGAAACTATCCGTGAGAGAAAGCTTTGAGGTATGTGAGTGAGGTGAGGTGAGTGTGAGGAAGATGGGAGGTAATAGACGGGAAATCAGAAACAGAAGGAGCAAAGTGGCTTTTGGGGGACGCGTCTGCCTTTTCTTGTCTTTAAAACGAAACAGCCCCAGCTGGCCTCGAATTGCGGCAGTGACGAGACGTGGATTCAGTGGGCAACGACTCGTTCCCTCTTACCCTTACTGTGGCAGTGGGCGGTGGAGTGGACGCCTGGCAGAGGGGTGGGTCCAAGCCGCGCCTGAAGCTCCCGTCATCTTTGGTCTTTGCCTTCCCTGCCTTGCCTTACCTTAGCAATTCGAAGTTTGCTGTGAGTTGAGGCAAGGTACCTTGAGGTATGTAATCATTCCACATTGCACTGCAGTGTAATCATCTTCTCGTCTTGATACTAACCTTGAGGCTTCAACCAGGATCCCTCCTACGGTCATTTTGCAGCCCCGATGCTGCGGAACCTCTACGCGCAATGGGACGGACACCAATGCGAACTCACGGCCCATGATCCAAGGACACTCCATGAACGGATGGATTCCACACAGGCACACGGGTTGGGATGAGGCAGACTGCGGAAACTTGGGTTGAACCAAGCCACTCAACCGCTGGGTTTACACTGCGCCACTGCGGCCCAGGCAGCGAATTATCGTCCCTCAAGTGCGACCAGCTGAGCAATAGATCCCTGCACGCCACGCCTCCCCGAGCGAATAGTTCGAACCCGTCTCTTTTTTTACCTTTTCTGTCCCCTTTGCCCTGTGGCCCTATTGTTCACCATGTGTCCATGTACTTGGTGTCGCCGCATGCTAGCCAAAGGGACGACGTTCAAGGTACAGAGAGCCTACCAAGGGGAGGAAGCCACGCACCAGTTCAATGGTATGGTGCCTTTTCGTATTTCTCAACCGTCGACCGGCGCAAGCCAATGGCTGACGCGCCGTTGTTTCTCCTACCGAAGCCAGCGAGCCCTGATATTCGTCTGACGTTGTCTGGCGTTGGATTGGTCGTTGCTTCGCGGTTGCTTTGCTGCTGCTTTTTTGCTGCATGCTAAAACGTCCGGTTGTCACGGTTGTCTGGGGTGATGCGCGGCAGCAGGGGGAGAAATGGCCGGACGGCGATCATCAATGATGACAACCTGCAGACGATAATGGACCTCTATTCCTTGGACGGCAACCCACGGCAGACGAGACGATACAAGATAACCGCCCGTTAGAGCTTCTGGAGAATATCGTCTTTTTGCGAACGGACTGGGTACTGTCATCGCAGCGGAGCCGCCACAGAATTGCGCGCGACACTGACAATTGACACTGACTGACACCTCAGCCGTCTTCAATCTTCGGAGAACCTAGCAAGATGAGGAAGCTAACACGAGCCCGCTGCCGCCGCATTCCGGGTGGTCCACGCGCACAACGGCTGAGCCGCCCAGCGCTTCCCTCCCTACCGTTTGCTCCGTACGCCGGGATTGCGACTCTCAAGGTTCAATCGGCCTTGCATTGTTTGGTCACAGGGCAACTGTTGTCTCTCGTACGAGACGAGAGAAGAGAGGGCCTCAAGAGCCTCGGAACCTTGAGAGCCCATGGAAATGTAGTCTATTCCACAACGAAGACCTTGATCTTGACAGGCGGGAACCCCGAGTCCGTCTCCAGCTAGACGAATCTCTCTGTCCGTTACTCTCCCACATCAAGAGAGCTGTTGGTCTGATCACCAGAGCAGCACAGCGGGAAGAGCGCACCAGATGCCCTTGCGCCAGGAAAATAGAGTCACTGATGTATCCGTAGGGTGGATATAATGGCGTAAGTCTTCGCCGCCCGACGCTATGTAAAGACGGGTCCCCATCCACCCACGGCCGCAGTATGGGCACAAGCTATTGCTGGGGTACAGAGAAAGCATCTCACCCGCGCAGCAAGCAAGCGAGCGAGGAAGCGAGCGACAGTTACGTCGCCCATCTTGGCTGTACCCAACATAGCCACGCTTGCTTGCGTGTTGCCAATATACCATCTATCGGCGCATCTTTACGACGAAAAAAAAAAAAAAAGGCGGGGAGATATCCTCGACATTCCGGTGTTTCCATCATCTTCTCCGTCTTCAACTCGTCGGCGTTACCGACTCTCAAGTCCGGCCCGAGAGAGCCCGCCGGCGGCGGTGGTGGCGGCAGCAGCAGCACAGAACTTTGATCATCTTGGGACGACATCTGAGTGAGGCATGCCAGCGATCCCTAGCTTGCGGCTGAATGCACCTGGAATTCAGCACGGACATGAGAATGAAGCCTCATTCAATGTCTCTTAACAATATCTCCGATGTCTCTGATCCCATTGAATCTCATTCAACCCTTGGCATCAACTCATCAAACTTTCATCTGCTAAACCTGCAGAATGAGTGCCTTGAAACATGACCTCACAATCTTATAATCGGTGTTATCCAAATGAAATGCGATGAATGAGTCGCCTCGCATCCATACAGTATCGAGTGACACTGTTTTCGCGCCATATTCAAGCGCAAGCACAGTGCAAAGTAGGGTCGTCCACATTGGAAATTTCACGACCGAGACGTGCCTCATTTCGAGCCCTAGACAGTGCCAATCTTGTACAACCCCCTCCAACCTCACTCAATTTCATCTTGGATGAGATAGCTTCAATCCAGACACACCCCTGTTCTATCCTGGAGCTCCCTACCCCTCCAAAGCTTCAACCGGGAAACATGGCGCAAAACACACACCCCGCCGCCGCAGCACCCGCCCTCTCAGACCTCATCTTCCCCACGACGGCGAACCACAACTTTTCCCACATCCTCACGGACCTCAAGCGCTCTAACCTCTCCATCGCGAACCGACTTCGCTCTATCACGCAGGACGCCGACTTTGTGCAGGATGTCGCGGCCAGTTTCGGTCGTCCGCTTGTGGCGAACGAGCGCTGCGGGAGCTGGTATATTCGACCTGCGGACAAGCGGGCAAGCGCGTACTTTAAGAGTACGGATGGGCATACGAATGCCTGGAAGTTTAGTACGCGCAGGTTGAATTTGCATTTGCTTGAGCTTGTTGGGAAGCATGATGGGTGAGTTTTATGGTGGTGTTTTTGAACTTCGATGATGGTGGCATGAGTGCGTTCATAAGAGGAAGAGGCTTTCGATATAAACTGCTTCTGATAAGAGCAGAGCTGACTGAGAATCTAGATGCATCATTGTAGATTCAACCCGCAGAGGCAAGAGTAAGTCCACATCATCAGACTCATACATCAGCACATCCACGAAGCTCAAGACTAACACGACTCCCAGGAATGCCAGACGCCCTAAGCAAAACCATTCCAATCTGGTGCGCCGTCCTTAACGCAGCCCTCTTCCCAGACCTCGACCCGGCGCGCGAGCTCCGCCTCTTCACCCCGCCCAACGTCGTCTCGGCCTCGGAACACGCCCAAATCGCTGCCCTCCTCCCGTCCTTCCTCGCTTCCCTCAAGAGCCTCGACCTCGATCTCGCGGCTCTCCGTGCGCACGTCTCCAAGCCCCTGCGGCCATTTTGGGTCACGCAAGAGACGCAGCTTCCGTCGTTATCCGCGTCTGCGGGCGATGATGACGAGTCTGCGAAGAACGTGGTTTTCGAAGATTACCACCCCATCATCTGCTGCACCTCCTCGCGCCGCGTCGCCGGTACGGAAATGAGCGAGGCCGGGTACATCCAAGGCGCCGGCGACGACACGGAGAACTGGGCCCTCGGTCTGACAGCCGAAGTCTTTTGGGAGAACGCCGCGGCGCTGCTCTCGTGTCCCGAGGCCGATCTCCCGGAACTGGTTGTTCGTCTCGTCGCGAAGGACAAGAGGAATGCGCCGAGAGGGGTGCAGCCGAAGCGAGTTGCGCCGCGGATCTACGTCTGTCCTTTACCCCTGGACGATGAGGAAGACAGCAGTGGTGGTACGGATGCTGTGTCCGCGGGTGCGTGCAGAGTCGTGCTAACACAGGACGTCACGCCGCGGGACGCGTGGGTGAAATCTCCGACGTACATGCAAGTCGGCCTCGGGAAGCACAAGGTCGCGAGTCGCAACCTCCGGCAGGCGCTGCCGGATATCTGCGCCTTTGTCGCGGGGTACCTCGACTCGCATCGTGATGTAGTAGAGGGCGCTGCCGAGGGCGACAGCAGCAGCAGTGGCAGCGTCCTCGTGGCCTGCGAGACGGGCAAGGATCTATCTATTGGCGTCGCGCTGGCCATTTACTGCTGGTGCTTCGACCGGGACGGCAAGTTTCGCGTGGCGGACTCGACGACGTTTTTCAACAAGGACATGATCCGGGTAAAGCTGGGGACAATCATGACGGCATATCCAGAGGCCAATGCGAACCGGGCTACGTTGCAGAGTGTCAACAGCTTTCTCATGGACCACCGAAGATGAAAAGGTCTCTTTTCACTTGTCTTGAGTCTACCTGGATTCCATCTCTCTCCTGAGTGGGCTAGTTTGACAAAGCGCTTCCAATAATTGGAACGCTGTCGGTCCTGGCTAACGATTTGAACACTTAAACAGAAATGGGAAGAAAATATAAGGGGTTTGGTAGGGAGATGGAAGCCATCATGATCCCTCGACATCGCCGCAGCCTCAACCTCACAGAGAAGGCGACGGGATAGAAACCCCGGCTAGTCAGGCGCTCCCGCTCTCAATCTTGGCCAGCATGTCGGGGAACTCGCTCCAGTCCTTCATGACGACCACGGCCCCGGCATCGCGCAGCACCTTCTCCATCTCCGCCTGCTTGTCGGCGGCGTAGGGGCCGACGTACCCAATCACCTTGATCCCCGCGCGCGTGCCGCTGAGCGTGCCGCTCTTGGAGTCCTCGATGGCGACGCACTCTTCGGGCTTCTTGCCGAGCGTCTTCATGGCGTGCAGGTAGATGGCCGGGTCGGGCTTGCTGGTGGGCTTGGGAAGCGACGTGGCGGCGCTGAAGACGACGTCCTCGGGGAAGTACTTGTCCTGCCCGACTTTCACGACGGACGCCCAGACGCGGCGCTTGGCGGACGAGGAGACGACGGACAGGGTATGCTTGCCGGCCTTTTGCAGCGCCTCGAGCTGGTCGTCGACGCCCGGGCAGGGTTTGAGTGCGGCTTTGAGCTTGGCGATGACGGCGTCCTCTTCGCGGGTGACGTACTTTTCGAGCTCGTCGGGTTGGAGCTCAAAGTTGTGGGACTTGGCGAGGCCGAGGAGCATGCCGCGGAAGTTTTGGCCGACGAACTCCTTGATGAGGGATTCGCCCGTGAAGCGCTGCTCGATGTTGCGGGAGGCGCAGATCTCGTTGATGAGGTCGGCGCAGGCCTCGAAGGCGAGTTCCTCGGAGAGGAC